TTTTTAAGGCGAAGTAGGATAGGTGAACTGGAACCGAGGCTTTATTTTCGCTGGGTTATCACTTGTATAAAAATGTTTGTATATTGATCTCTGAATAACTAAGCGGTTGGTTCATAAATGATTCTATCAAAGATGTATAGGCGGTCAAAAAAGTTATGAAAATACGGTTACGAAACTTAGGTTTAGAATTGAATACTCATCAAAACGCCCAGGAGTTCGAAAGACAAGTGGTTCACGTACCCTCCTGTGATGACATAACATTTCCCCAAAAGAAACCAACTGTCCAAAATCAATATTTGCTAAGTTTTTTTTTTTTAAAATACAAGTGTACTCTTCTCTCTTGAACGATATGACTGAGCAAATGGATATGTGATAAAAGGCTAACAAAAGTTTACCTTCAATCCTGGACAATGAGCGAACCACGCCGAAAAATCCTGGGAATGTTGAGCAGCAACACCGGCAGCAGCACCGTTGCAACCACGGAATACTATGGGACATGGAACCTTAAGAGATATTCAAGCCTCTAATTCTAGAAAAAAACTGATCGAAAAAGCAGTATCGCAAAGGCAACGAGATGAAATAGATATTGGAAGCATACCCGCCCAGCTGACATGTAGTAGGTTTTAGCAGCCGAGTTAATGATCTGGTCAATAGCTTGCATAGAAAAGTTAAATGTCATGAACTCGCAAATTGGACGAAGACCAGCGAATGCAGCACCGACGGCCAGTCCTGTAGGTCATATAATCAGCTCCATAGCAAAACCCCAAACTGTTCAAGTCTTGATTAGTAAAGCTTTATATCTTTTCATGGTAACCTCTCCAGATACATGGTCTATTTTTGATGTAAGCAAAGCACAAAATTTGACAAGGAGGAGTCATAATGAGTGATCCAGAGCAACACCTTATTCATACCAAAAAGACAACATACTAAAAAAAGAGGATCCCACCTGTAAAACCCATTTCAGTGATAGGAGTATCAATAACGCGATCGTCGCCATACTTCTTCCAAAGTCCTTTGGATACCTACGTAAAGTGAGTAAGAATCTAGAATAACAAGAAAAAGGAAGAACGTAAGTACCTTGTAGGCGCCATCGTATTGAGCGACTTCTTCTCCAATAAGGAACACCTTATCGTCACGCTTAAGCTCCTCGTCCATGGCTTGATTGAGGGCATCTCGGACAGTGATAGCTAAAGAGGTTCACGTGAAAGTTGCCATTGCAAAGGCTATTAGAAAATAACAAAACAATAAAAATATGGAGAGAAAACCTTGAGCGGCGGCAGCAAAGTTTCTTCTGCTCGCCTTCAGAAGCTGAGAAGCAGCAACCTGGGCACAACTTTTCAGAGCCATTGT